TACAAGTAAGAGAGGCAAAATACCTAGGTAATGCTAGATAACAATCTTTCGAAGGTAAGACACTTTGACCATATCGGGGTGTAACCATATGCTCGCCCCAGACAGAGGGTACTCCAAACAATGAAGACCATCGGGACCATTAGCCGTCAAGGATATCAAATAATCCGCAACAAAGTTTGCTTCCCTATACCCATAAAGGATCTTCACAGCCCAAGGACGACCAAAAGCTCTTGAATCCCTTTCAACACACTCCATGGGGTCCACTATTTATTGTGTAGTTGACTTTGGGTTATTACATGGATTCGGTCAAATGAACTCCATTTATGTATGTTTGAGAATCTTAGTTTATATGTTCCTAAATCTTCAATTTGGCACTATCTGATTTTCGTTTCTATTCTTCTTTTGAGTTACTTTTGAGGTGAGGGCTATTATTTTGCCGTGTGAGATCATGCAATGCAATCTTTATTGAAACTTAATTATTTTGGTCCTTTATTCAAACTTTCACATACTAATTCAACCACGTTAACCCAAAACAAATTAAATAAAAAAATAAATATTTTTTTTTTTTCATGATAAACAGAGAAGCCTTTTGTTGTTTCAGGTCGAACAAGGCCAGGAAATTTTGAAACATTCATAGCTAATATTATGAATTCGACAATAATTGTAATCAGATTACTAACTTAAATAATCAACATGTAAATTTATGCAGGTATTAATTTACATGTGCTCATCAACATTAAAAACTAGACGCTCTAAAAACTACTTTGAATTGCAAAGAGCTCCTCAATTCTGCTGAGAGGAGGACCTATTATTAGCCTTCTTCTTCTCCAAGTAGAAAAACCAAAACGACGACAAAACGGCAAAACCCGAGAAGCAAGCCGAGGCAACATCGAGTGACACATGCAGAGGCGAAGCTACACTTGCTAGCTGGGGTCAGCTGACCCCTATAGATTTTAAAATTTTTAGTATAAAATATTGTTCAAACACTGTTTACTAGCCTTCAAACACTGTTCACACATGGCGCCCTGAGATCGCTCGGATTTCGAACAAATTACTCTTTTTATGCTCGTCAGTTGTTTGACCATAAGCCACCTCTTTACCGGAAGAGTCGAGCACGTAAGCCCTAGCAAAATATGTCGCGCTCGGCACATCTTTCCCGACAGTCCAAGTGAAATTGTTGTTGGCTCGATTGTACGGCTCGGTAATTACATTGTGTTGGCAAGTTTTGTCCTTTCGTAAATCGTCCTCGGTTTTTCTCCAACTTCTGTCTTGTTGGCTAATCGGCGCAAAACAGAGTTTGATTTTCACGGTTTTGTAGGCCGAGTCGGTTTTGGATGGGAGGCTTGGGTCGAGTGACCACGTTATTGTTATGTTGTCTTCTCCAGCTTTAAGAACTGTTGGAAGGAAAAAAGAAACAGATTCGAATGTTTGTTAACAGAGGAAAACACAACTTTGCATGACTTAGTTATGGTGTGCTCATGATTAGAAAATTCTCCAAATTGTCAGAAAGTTTTAAAATGGGGGCACAACCAAAACATTTTCTCCTAGCCTTGTAGAAAATTCGAGGACACTTATTAGATTACCTGTTATATTTGGTGGTGTAGTTTTAAAGTGAGTGAAACGGAGGAAATATTTTAAAGAATTTTCAAAAACTTTTTAAAGTGAGGGTGAGATTATAGTGTGCTAACTATATATATGATTTATATGGATTATTTAACCTGTGTATATGCTTCAGTTAGGTGTATGAATTATAAGTTATGAATTATAAGTTTAGAAGTAATCGTAGAGCATATGATACCTGAGAAATCTTGTATTATTTTGTCATCTAATTTACATATTTAAGTATTTAATTTCATTGTATTATTCAAGTTTTCTCACGTATTTTAGTTTGTGAACTGACATACATCAATAACTAATGACGAAGAGGTAGCTAATTAAATAACTAATGACATGGCAGTGTAACTAATAGATTCTCATTGGTTGATGGCTAGAGTGAATTTTAATGTGA